TTTTTTTTTTTTTTTTTTTTTTTTTTTTTTTTTTTTCCGGGTAAAAAAGTGAGTACTATTAACATTATAAGCCACACTTATTTGTCGAAAAATTATTCTTTGAATTATGTGTAGTGTTTAGGGTTTTTATGGGTATTTTTGGCATAAAAATAAATTAATATCATTCTTTATGAATTACTTATTTGTTTCTTACTTTCTTATATAAAGAATCAGAAAGAATATTTAAATTTAGCTGGTGATATACGTCCAAAACAAGTTGTGGTAGTTATTCCGACAATCTACTTTTTACACTTCTATAGAAAAGTTAGGTCAAAATTATATTTGCATGACAAGTCTAGTTATGTGAATGAAATTAAAATTTAAGAATGTAGATCAAAATGTATAAAAATCCATTCTTTCAGATTCTGTGTTGCCCTAATATTGTTTTTTCCACTGGGAGATTGACTTGAGTCCCACATTGGAAGTATGGAATTCTAGTGTGGGCTTTATAATGTCATAGAACTCTCCAACTACAACAACAAGCTTTTGTGTGGTGGTTCTCAATAAGCTTTATAATTGTTACACATTTTTATATTTAGTTGTGTTGTTGATACAACAACTGATACAGCATTTTATATAACAATTTTTGTCATTTTCTCTCTAATGCATCACTAATTACATTTCACACTTCTCTCTCTTGTCTGTCTTTGTCTCTCTATGTTGTTCAATTTGTTGTACAAATAACATTTCTCTTTTATATTATTTACTATTTGTGAGATGACACAAAGTTGTAATATATTTGATGGTCTTTTCTTCACTGTTTGTTACTATTTCTTTGAAGTGTAATGCTATATTAGTTTTGTAATCTTGTCTGGTAGCTGGACCCAAGCTATAAAAGTTTTGAGAAAAAGGTTATTGTGAAATCTTCTCATCCTGTTGGGAAGTGTAGACTTCTAACCGGCGACCAAAGTCTACAGCTGGATGTGAGGTATGTTTGCTTTACCTATATTGGTTTATAAATGAATTCCCTCTTAATGACAATGACCAACATTTAACATGTCTTTGTTTAACAAAGTGCGAAAATATAGATTATATTTCTCTGAATAATACTTGATACAGTGAGACGTATAAATGGTAATTTGTATGCTATTCTAGCCTTGAAAATCAGGGGAATAATTTTTCTTATAAATGTTATAACTAAATAAGGAAGGTAAATAGGAACAATCCCTTTATGATTTTTCAGTTGTGTACTGCTCGCATTGCTATTTTTCTTCTTGGAATATTGCATAGTTTAGATTGTTGCATATTTATTGATGATCAAGCTTATGTTTTACTTTGGTATGTTCTTGTTATCATGATTTGTTGAACAGGGTTGGTTCTACTTTTCCAACCTTGTGCATCGCATATTATGATATCTATGATAATCAAGCACCTTTTCAATCAATTCCGGATGTAACTGTCAAACTTACGACTGCTGCGGGAATGCACTTTGAAGTACATGGGTTGAAGATTAGTCTTTCAACTGATAGAATGACTTTAAAAATTAAGGTTTGCTGATTATGTACTTCATAGTTCTCACTGAACAAGAAAAAAATCTGATGCATTATTTTTGAATACTTCATATAGGATGCAATGGTCACAAGTAATGAACTTGACAAGTTAAGGCCAAGCTATGAGGTTACACTCACATTGTTTATTGATTCAGGAAACATTCCATTTTCACTCTCCATTCCATGTCGAGGTGCTCATGGTTGATCATGTTTTTATTCATTACGAAATGATCTTGTTTTCAGAGATGCTTTCTTATCACTGCTTTATGTTTCTTATTTTCAGTTCATCCAGGTTTTCCCAACTGTGCTGAACTCAAGCCTAAAATAACAGAAGATCAACTCATTCCAGGTTTCATTTTCAAGGAGCTAATGTTGGAGGTATCTTTGAACCTTTAACATTGAGAGATTTTTTTTGACTTATATGTTTTTTCATTCTTCTTTGGGTGCTGCACCCAAGGGTCAATGAGCATTATTATCAGAGGCTAAAGTGAAATTTTTTCTAAATTTCCAAGAGATGATGGATTATGATACAATTGTTGTGTATACTCGAAATGTTTCAAGTAGCTAGGTGTTGGAAATAGAGCAAGAGATATGGGAAAATTTATGGCATTCATAATCTAGTGATAGTCATCATAAAGAAACATAAATTCCTAACCAACAAAAGGATTAAATGGCAATGGCGATGGCAAAACTCAAAGGAGGAAGCGTGCGGAGGGAGAATCTATCACGCGCGGAGGAAGAACCAGGATGAAGAAAGTCTCGTACGAGGTAGCGGTGGCGCGCTCAGAGGTGACAGTGGCGCGTGCAGAGGTGACGGTGGCTCGCGGGGAGGTTAGGGTGGCGTGCGCGGAGGTTAGGGTGGCACGACAATGGTGCACACGCAGGGGTAGAAGAAAGTCACGTTGTTGTACATGATGGTGGAGGCCGCGTCAGAGGCAATGGTGGCAGGCGGAGGCAACGATGGCAGGGGGTCTTGTCAGAGCAGCCGCGGGTTGATGGCGCTATTTTGGGCCATTTTTTTTTTGTTTTTTCTGATTTGGGCCATTTTTTTTTCTTTTTCGGTTTGGGCCCGGGTTTCTTTCCCGGGTTGGGCACCCAACACATAAAATAGGGTTGCAGAAACCCTAATACATAATAGCCTCTCTTCCGTGCAACCCGCGGTAGGATCTTTATTTCGATTTAAACTTTTCTAAAAATGATTTTTCAATTAAGTTTCTTAAAGACTTGTTAATGAAGAATTAATCCTATATGCTTTCTTGATTAACCAATAGAACAATATGTAATGCTCAGTTCAAACCAACGTTGCTCATGCAAACATGTTAATCAAGAACAATCTTTTCAATATACAATCAAGATATTACACAAAGTAAAAGATAAGGGTAACAAAAGATTGCACAAGTCTTTTATCCTGGTTCAACCACTCCACATGTGACCTACATCCAGTCCTCAATCATAACTTGATCAAGATTTGTTCCACTATCTTAATGAAGAAGGTTTACAAGCATACCACACATGCATATACTCCTACATTCAAGATAACCACTTTCTTGACCTCAAGAAAGCACCCCTTGTAGAAACCCACTACAAGAATTCCTTACCACTTGAGAAACCTACTCAAGATTTACAAGTATTCACAAAGAGTTAAGGAACGAATTCACCTGGAATTCAGAAGCAAATCTTAATCTCTTTCCTTTCAAGAATGTGATGATGATGATTTTTTCTCAAAGATTTTCAAAAACGTTTTTCTTCTTGGATTCAAAAAGAAAACTCTCCAAGATTGTCACAAAGACTTCACAAACACGTTTTTCTAATTTTGATTCTCAATTCTAACCCTGTTCTGAAGTTTCAAAATGGTCAAACTATTTATAAGTTTTTCAGAACCAGATAATCAATTATTTTAAAGAATAATCGATTATTTTGTTCTTCATGATTTATGGAAATCAACCAAGAACAATTTAATCGATTATTTTGCTGGATAATTGATTATTCTAGAGAGTCATTTCTAGGATAATCGATTATTTCACAAATAATCGATTATTGCACCAAGGCATCCTTTTTGCCTGTTGCTGGAATAATCGATTGTATTTAATGATAATCGATTATTTTGAGTTAGTTTTCAAAACTCTATTTTAAGTCTCAAAATAACTTTTAACCTTTTAAACTCATCATCATACACACTCCCAATCAGATTAGAAGATTAGCTAAAGCACAAAGCACACACAAAATATAAACTCAATAAAAGCAATCTATAAACTACTCCTTTTACATAACATTTTTCTTTGACTTTGTTTTTGACTTCTAAGTTGTTGATGTCCTTGGTCAACTTTGTTCCACACATTTGTTATCATCAAAACCTTTAATCTTCAGAGGTGATCTCAACAATCTCAGTCTCCCCCAATCTCAACATATTTCAATCAATCTTCTTCTATATTTTATTTCTCGTCTTTATCTTCATCTTTTATTTATAACAAACCCAATCATGTAGATATTTTAGGGTTAGTCGTAGAATTTAAATTTTAAGCATGTAAATAGTCATCAACAAAAGGGGATTTAATATTTATATTATTATTCCTTATAATGTTAACTTCATCATAGGTTACCGATTAAGGGCATTGTAGGGGTGCTTAATACCTTCCTTACACGTAACTAACCCCTGAACCCAATTCTGGTTATCAAGGCCATTATTGGATTTTAGAAAAACCTTTTCTTTTTCCAATGTTTTGAGTAAAACATTGATGGCGACTCTTAAGAACCTATTTTCAAAATCATTGATTAAAGATTAGTCTAGCGTCCGGACATTCCTTTATTGATGAGATTTCTAAAAGGATGTCTAAACCATAGGTCGCAAAATCGGAATTTTTTGAGTTGTGACAGATGGCGACTCCACTGGGGCGTTTAAAGAGGGCCAGGCCCATTTAATTGATGAAGTTAATAAAATAAAAATAATATTTAAATATTTTTCTCCTTTACTTTGTTTGTTTTATTTACTTGGCTTTAATATTTGTTTGCCTATTTAAATTTTGCACTTGTTGGAATACAAATTGTACACAAAACCTTTGCACACAACAATTCCCACTACACCCGGGGGCATGAGGGTATTAAACATAGGGAGTGGTTGACGTAAAATCGACCCAAGTTTGGCCTTGGAGCCTACGAGCCTTGTCGAAAATCACACTCAAGGTGATAACCGGTTACTCTAGCCCGAAATACTGCGACAAACCTTAGAGTTTGCCAGGTGACGGTGACAGAGATACTAAGTCCCTATAATGTGGGCACCTTGGAGGTCTTAAAGACCAATGAGATTAGAACCATCCTATACAACACACTTTTCTTGACAGGGACCACAGACCAAGGATTTGAACACGATCGTTCGTGGCTGTACATTGATTGAGCATGTGTGTGCATTTGTTGTATTATTTCTTCTAATAAGAGTGGATTGGAATTTTAAAATAAGCAAACAAATAATAAAAAATAATAATAAAAATCTTATACCCCTTCGTACATTCTTAGGCCAGTATTCCATTAACATTATATAGGTAGTTTCCTTTTTGTAAAAAAAAATCAATAAAAGAAGTCTCTTCTTTACCATGCATCATTCCCTTTTAGATAATAGAAACATGATAAAGATTAGTCAGAAAAATATGACATGAATTATAGATTAGATAATTAATTTCATTCATTTTATTTTATTAGATAAGGAAGATTAGGTTGCAGTACGTATAGAAAGTTAAGAAAAGTGAATGCTCTAATATACGACAGTACCTACGCTCTAAAGAAAAGCCCAAATCAATTTTCAAAAAATACTATGGTTGGGCGCTTGCTTTGATATGTTTGTTAAAGTAAGTCTTCTTAGAATCTAATATAGATTCTCGCTTACTACTGTCAAAATCTATTTGAGCATTCACAGATAAACAAATCAATGAGACTGATATTTATTTTTCTCAACTTTCTTTACATTCTGCATTACATTCATTTAGAACAAATCCCTCCTTGTAAAAGAATAAATGAGAATAAAAAGGGAAATTAACCTATATGCAATAGTCAAAAGTAATGGGATATAAGCCATATGCATAAAGAGTTTTGAAGACCCCAACTCTTGCCCCAAGAGGATAAAGCTGTGTCGTGCAACCGTGAAATCCAAGCAGAATAGGAGAAACGACTATGAATGGATGGATCCACACTCCTAACGAGTTGCAAGCTAATAAAGAGAATCTGAGGAGGAGGAATCCCTCAAACACTAAGGCAAAGTGAATAGAGCTTCCTCGAAAAGTGATTTCAACAAGAGAGAAACATTGCTTGTTATAAAGCTGCTAGAATGAAAACCCGCAAAGGGCGTTCTAGGGAAAAAAAATAAAAAAAATAAAAAATAAATAAATAATTTGAGAAGCAATGTTTGTTCGAGCTGAAAATTGAGAGACAGCTTGAATGTTCCTCTTGAGAATCAAGACTCCATGGAAAACTCTATCATCGCTTCTACCCATTCCTACTTCTTAGGAAAGGCTTAGGATATGAGTTAAAAATACCTTTACGAGAGAAGAAGCCAAAGGACCTCTCTCTACACGAGATCTTCTGAAGCGCCCTCCCTCTACACGAGATCTTCTAAAGCGCCACATCCAAGCAAGTGGAGGACTAGCTCTACAGTTAGATGACTTAGGCCTCTCTAAGGGGAAACCTCCTTCTTTTTCTTTGTGTACGAATCACGAACTTGTGGCATGCCCGGGCCCTCAAGCTACACTAAATGGGCACACATAAATTAAAAATTCTATTTTAATGCCATACACTTTTCTACTTCATTTCTCTTCTCCCTTTTATCTACTCTAGGCCTCGTCAACAAACCTTAAATGAACAAGTACATTTGAAATAAGGACATCATTAGAAACAATGGTTTAATACGCAATAAAAAACACATAAAGATCAATCAAATTTGGCATGACTTGTGGATAAAAGTCCAAATGAAATCAGTGCAAGAGGCATCCCCCTTTAGTGAAGGAATGAAAGATGATCACAAATGCTGCAAAAACAAAAGCCCTGCAAGAAACCCATTAAGAGGGCAGCGCAAAGATTAGAGCAAGGTCCGCTAGGAGACCCATAAACAAAAAGGGTAGCCTAGGAAAAAGTGAGGATCAAAAGAAAATGTCTGCTAGGGAACACATCTCATGTAACCTAGGCAAAAGTTAGGACAAAGCAGCATCCCGAGCTAGGCAGCCTGGGAAGATCATTTAATCGATACACAATCCTAAGTCATCGCTTAGCTTTGAAGAAAATAATAAGCCAACGTGGAAAATGATTTCCTCACTTTGAATGTGCTTGTTCATCAGCCTAAACCACTAGCCTACCTCGACCAGCCATTCTTTTAAAATCATTTTTGAAAAAAATCTTTTCTAACAAAACTTCTGCAAAAAATATATGTATATATCCTCTTCTTCTCTTTCCTCTTGACCTATATTGCATTAAGATAAATTTGAGAGATACACGGAGTATGCACAATGAATACTCACAAGGAAAAGATGGAGGTGTCCTAGAACAGAGTCTAGGTACACCTGATCTAAGGGCTAACATATCACATTCGGTACAAGCGAGAGGACTGAACTACACAAACCTCAGGTTCAAGAAGCAACATTGAATTCGACAGGGCTAAAGGCTAATAGTCCATGTCATTGATGAATGCACATAGATTAATTTCTTGAAAGAAAATAAATTAGCATTTTAAGCATTCGCATAGAAGCATCATTGCATAACATGCATATGGCACAAGCGTGCACAAAAGGGTATAAGTTCATTTAAAAAAAATCTAATCCATTCCTGCTTTGCATTTTCTTTTGAATTCTTGCATTCTTTGTGTGTGTCTATCCATCACTTGTTGGAGGAATCAAGAGGCCGAAGCAATCGTAAAAAAGATCAACAACTGGACATTGCCTTAAGAGCCAAGATCATGTCATAAAAAAAACCTAGCCCCAATAAGGGCATTCCATACAAGTTGTTTCAT